CCTCTAAATGTACACCTCTATTGCTAGGCCAATTGTTACTTATGGTTCAACCATCTGGTAAAAAAATCTTAGCTTAGCTTAGATTGTAATAGATTGTTATGAAATTACATTGGGGCTCTCCAGACTTCATTTACTTGTCAAAAAGGAAGCAATGACTTTTATAGCCAAGCTACAGTTGACTTGTTATCGGTCAACAAAATCACTCGATAACTTTCTTCTAGGTAAGGAAATGCAAAGAGTAAAAAGACTAAATATCACCATATCTGACATTTACTCACCTAAATTTAACTTCCACCAAAAGTTCCTAGTACTACTACCAGACAGGAATGACAACATACCTGCATTCGTTGGATATTACCATGCTACACGAATGGCTCCAAAACGATCGAAGGAGTGGGGCGCTAGTCTATGGGGTTAAACCAAAAGAGGAAATATTTCGAGTATTAGTTAAGAAAACTCAGTTTTTGAGGCCAAAGTACACGCAATTAAACTATGTCGAAGGAAATATAAAGAGAAATCCATCACGGAGAAAACATATATATTTTCTCTGACAGGAAATCAACAGTTCTAGCACGACGCTTACCTCGAATGACTTCAAAACTATTGTGGGAATGCCTTCAACTTCTCACAGATCTTGCTGAAAGAAAAAGGGTTAACTTAATATGGATCCCAGGGCTCAGTGGATTTGGGGGACACGAGAAAGCCGATGAACTAGCCAGAAAAGGGGCGATCTCAGATTATATAAGGCAAAACCCATTCTGTGAAAAAGCATCCGACTTGACACAGGGTTTCTGACTGGACATAGGAGAGCCAAAAAGCATTTGATTGTTGCATTCCAGAAGATATTTGCTTAAATGTATTAAACGGTATATGAGAGCAAACAAAGTACATATATATCGACTACAAACGGAAATATGCCTCGCCCGCACGCCGAGATGGTTGATAGCAACTATACTTTTGAAGCTGTCAAAGATTTCATATATCTTGGTACCATTGTAACAATAATGATATCTGCCCATAGACTACACGATAAATTACCATTGCCAATATATGCTACTATAGGTAAAGCAGACAATTAGGATCTGTTGATGGAGCACTCTCAACCAACAAAAGTTACGTAGGTGTAAGCCATCTTATCTGTACTTTAATATAACGCAAAAGTATGAACATTATCATTTAATGATGAAGCACTGGGAGTAATTCAAGAGGTAAGAGGTAAGGTATTTATGACTTCCATGAATTGGCGACTTCTATCACATCCTAGTGAACCACGAGTTGTATGCGCTTTACTATGAATATATAGTATAGATGAAGAACTTCTTGCGGTAAATGTGTTTGAAGTGGTAGGTAGTGGAAGAAGACATACTGAAAGCCGTATCTCAAGATGGAGTGACGAAGTTAAGAGAGCATTAAACACGCTTGACGTACCCGACTAGAAAAAATGCATCAGCAAAGGTAACTGGGAAAGAGTGATGGATTCGGCTAAACCCAATAATCGGATGTTATGGTCACATTTTTAGCTCAATGCAAAAATTCTTTTAGCCACCAGATTCTAAATACAAAATACCAACCACTTCTTACGAGAAGAAATTGTATTGATGCAACAACCAGGTAAGAAGATTATTTTGTATTACAATTTTTATACATATTCCTTAATAAAAATCTATTAATTATATATCTTGAAAAATTTTGTAATAAATTTTACGATAAATTTAAGTTTCTTCTGTATTTCATATTATTTACAAAACATGTGAATAACAACTGATGTATAGTACAAAGTATTTTATAACTATAGTTAAATTATAACTTATTAGAACTTATTGACTAGTGTTTAACATAGACATTTCAGCGCTAGAATCCAAACCAACATGGTAGATAGTGTGTATAGGTAAATCCATATCATCTTCTGCAAACAATCTTCGCATGCGTTCTTTGTAGCTAATAAATATAATCAAAGTTAATAAATTTCTATATAAAAAGTGTAATATTTTCCACTTACGCTTCGCTATCAATATTATTATCCTGATTTCGGCATACGTCTAATTTCCTTTCGATATGTTTAACAGCATCCTTGTTTGGTTGTACAATGGTTTTTACCAAATAACGAATTTCTTAAAGAAATAAATAAATTCACAAACATTAAATAAATATTGAATAATATAATTTATAAATTATATAACTTAAAAATAATTTGAACTTCAGGATAATTATATTGTAAATCAATAAGTAAGAATTACTTCAGAATAATAATAATAATATAAATAATAATAATAATATAAATAACAATAATAATATAAATAATAATAATAATATAAATAATAATAATAATATAAATAATAATAATAATAATATAAATAATAATAATAATAATAATAATAATAATAATAATAAAAATAATAATAATAATAAGAGATAGTAAATGATTATATATTAAAATCAACATAATTAAGTAAGTAAATAAAGCGGACTTGTAAATATTTTTGCGTTCAAGATTAACAATATATTACGGGGGGACTAAAATAAGTTCGCTTATTTATAAACATGGAATACATTTTTAATAAATAGAAAAAAATCCCAGCTAATTTAATACAGTATTCCGATATGTCATTTAAAATCTTATAGCTAGCAGTTAAATGGGAAGTATGAGAAAGGAAAACTTATTGACAAGGAGTTGGTGTAAATACCACTGCAATTCTAGCAAGAGAGAATTACATTTGCCATTCTTTAGAGATTTAGCGTAACTTTAAGCCTGTGAAAGTGATTAACAAGTGCTAAATAGCATACAGAGAGAATGTTCTAACAACTGCGGTTTTGGAGACTCTAGCTTAAAAAAATTTTTATGGAGAACGATTCTCGCAAAACTTGCTCGAAATCTTTGACTGATAGTGCAAAAGTCACTTTATGATAAAGATTTAAGATTGACACAGGACAACATTACTGATCATTTAGACTTGAAAGTCATGTCTGTATGGTGAATATTAATGACGATCAAAACACAGAACAACAATGAAACAAGAGATTAATGCACTCGTTAAATTCAGGCAACAGAAGTCACAAACAAAAGAAATAATCTCGAATTACTTCATAAAAGGTAGCTGTAGCTTTTATTCTTCCGCAGACTGGAGTACTATTCCAAATCAGATGAATAAATTTTTAATTTGTTACCAACTAAGCGAACTTTTAGTAGTCTTTCCTTACAATCTTCAAAACATAAAAATGAAAATAGGTACAATATACTAAACTCGAAAAATAAAATATATAAGTAACAAAAAACAAATGAACTCACTTCGCACAGAATCTATAATAATTGGTAATTTATCCCTTGAAGAGAGAAACAAATTTTCCGTAACATAACTATCCAAGTTTTCTTGTTCCTTGCTTGCAGCATGCAAAATTGCAGCCAGAGCAATTTGAGATGGTGAATAGAGCAGGCAAGCATCAGTGAAAAAAGTTTGATCAATAAATTCATCAATATGTGGACGCAAACGTTCTGGATTTGCCATTTCACTACGTGACTATAGAACACAATAATAAAATTAGTTATAAAATAATAATAATAAGTAAAAATCATTTACTTTTATGTCAATAAGGAACCCTTCCAATGGCCTAAATGGATTATGTATTGTTAGGTAGTAGTTAAGTTTCTGCATAAGCAATAGTTCGTTTGAGAGTATAATGTTGACAGCTTTACTACGATCTCCTTTCAGATTGCCTACAAACTGCCCAATCGATACATTAAACTCTTCAACTTTACACGCTAAATAAACACATGTGGTCAATATTTCTTTTGGATGATAGTCCATGACACTGTTGTAGAGGTAGAATCGTTTGAAGTAATGAAAAGCAGTGCCAACCACACATTTTGGCATTGGTGGGTCAAAGCGGCGACAGAAATCATTTAAATATATTTCCCATTGTTTTAAGAATATATGTTCCTCATCTGAACTTAAGAAATAACCAGTCTGCTCTTTCAACTGCAAAATTTCTATTAACATTAACATTTGAAATGATTTCTTAAATTACTTACGCTTAAATTTCCGCCATGTGTCTCTATGAATTTTGCATTCTTTTCTATGCGCAATTCTTGTAATTGTTCTTCACTAGCAAATGTCCAAAATTTTGACTGAGAACTTAATGAAAACATATTTTGACGAAATTTGTAGAGCTAATATAAACGCGATTGTTTACAAATGCCTTTTAACTGAATTTATCTGTCAGAATTTAGCAAATTAATTGGGTTGCCAAGCATTAAGAATGAATAAAATAGTAGCAGAAAAAAGGTATTCCCTTCATATTCGAATAATAATTATTAAAACAATTTGATTAGTTTATATTTACAAATAAAATTACTTTTCTATTCTATTTATAAAAAAGTTTTACTGTAAACAAAATTGATTTATTTTTAAATCAATTTTAAATCTCTAAATAATTAATTATTATTAATTTACATTATTATTATTATACTATTTTTAATAAATTTATTTATATAAATTAGATTTCTGTATGTATATAATATATGAAAATAAAAATTTCTCAATATACAAATGAAAATTTACATTTGTAATTAATAAAA